ACCACTTGACTAGCCTGTCTACAACATCTATCAGCAACCGTACAATCACACATTCCGTTATGATTAAACAAATACACATCGCTGAGTATATCATCTATAGCCAAGCCCTCTACTCAACAAATCGTTGTGCCTCCGCTCAGTTTCAAATCATGCGGTCATGTGTCACGAGTAATCCCGAGTACAATAAAGTTCAGTTTAGCAAACTCTTTGCCTGAAGAGTGACACGGTGAATTGACTTTGGCTGACACAAATTGTAAGGAAACAGCGGGGTGTCATATACACACACCAGAAAAAAAAACACCCTCTTTCAACATTTGACACTCTAACTTTGTGTTGTCACCCTTGCACTTGGGAAAATTGAAACAAAAAACTATCAGTTATGTTTATACACAATTCAATAACAGAACTATGTTAGTTCAATTATATATCAATAAGGAAATCACAATGACTGTCTTCAGTCAGTGGAAACTATAACGCTAAACATGTATATTTCAAGTGCAAGTAATTTTCACATACTTATACAGATAGATAGTGTATAATTCCACCAACATTCTGTAACTACATCTACATCACGGGCATCTAAAAGTTCCACTCATATCAAATCTAACTTGTGTACAAATGGATGCTTTATAACAAGATACCAATTAACACCGGCAAATGAACACGGATATCGTAAATCCTTAAATAATCAAACACCTGAAACACATTATCATCCTAATTATATTATGTCGATGTTTTGACAACAAACGACATTACCGTAGAACACTTACTAGATTGGTCACGTGATGTCATCTCATTCACAAGTGCAGCACGTGCCACTAGCTAAATGTGCTAAGCTGAAGCCTTCATGTCAACATTGAATTAATCGTGACATGTAGTTGTAATAATGACCCTGTCATTTGTGTTGTGATACGCAAAGGTATAAAGCTGTTCTGTTACAGGAAGAAGGCATTCCACTCTTGGAAACATTACATCGAGATACATACTTAGCTCTTTAGATTCGTCGAGTTTAGCCAAATATCATTTCTGTCTTTCATTATTTTTTACATCTAAAAACAAGTAACATGAATCATTACGATTCCCGACTTTGTCTTCTGGCCTCTTCGGCCATGGAAACTATTGACCACAGTGGTCATGACGCAGACGGTGAGACATTTGCACTATTCACTTTTATCACATCAGGATAATAATTCATTGGTGTTGTTTTTATTCAAAGTATATTTCAACTACCCGTTCTGTTCATCAAACACCACTCAGCTTTAATAACATTTGCAACAAATTGAATATTGTTTCATAACTGATTTCTTTTCTTATTCCAGCTGAAGGTACCTCGTCAGGCTATGACTCAAGCGACTACTCCTCTGATGAAGGCGTGAGCACGACCTCAAAATCAAGATCGTTCAGCCAATCCAGTTCCAACCCATCACAAGGCCGCTCTCACCCCTCACAGTCCTCCGGTCGGGGAGACGTCATGATGCTTAGAAGCACAGGGGACTTACAGGACAGCCTCTCCCTCATCCTCAACATGCCAGATATGTGTGACGTCACCTTTCTCGTTGGGAAGGAGAAGGCTCCTGTTCATGGAGTCAAAGCCATAATGGCTACACGAAGCAGGTAAGATATTCTCGAAAACAATCAAATCCATTACAAAGGTCAGGACAATAATAAGTGCATGTTTAAGTAGAGCCTGTTTGGCTCTTATACTCTGTGAATGTACTCAACATGAGAACAATATTTGGACCATTTACTAGTTGTGTATGACTATCGTCTTTAATTTCTTTCTTTCTTTTCTCTAGGTACCTATATCAGCTTTTGCTTCAACATCAGAAACACTCCTCCTTGGAACGATCAAAGACCAAAAAGATCAAAGACTCAGCCTTTGCACAGAAACTCACCATCAGCATTCCTGACTACCAGATTGGAGACTTTCGGGCGTTCCTCAAATTCGTCCACTCAGGGAAAGCTAACATCGATTTTAACAATGTGGTTGGTAAGTACTATCTTTATTTGTTTAAATGGGATATTCATTTCAACACAAAAATATCCCCATACCACTAATCTTGATGACACATGAGTGAAACACAGACAATTATCCATAATATGAACTTCACCCTTTTGATGATATTTTATCAAACAAATTACAATACGTCCTCGGCTCTTTCAGGATTACTCTGTGCATCTGTGGAATTTGGATTCTCCGACCTACAAACGGCCTGTATGCAGTTTGTCCAGAGATGTCAAAATCAGGGACATGGTCCAGCCCTTCTGGATTTAGCCTGGACCTACCAAAACAAACGACCAGCACAGAAGCTCGTCTGTCAGGTATGTAACATACTCTCCTTCAGGTTCTCTTGGCCATGATCTCACTTGGGCCACACGCATTCTAAAATTAATTGATTTCGTTGGGAAACATTTCAAGGACCCAAATGATTCTTAATGTGATTGATAAATTTTGACTGCAAAAAAAACTTCGAATATTACATGATTAAATACTCTCTACTGCGGTTCTAATTTTTGCAAATTTACTCTTTTTCCAGCTGTCAGGTGTAACCAGATGAAAAGATCAACCGAACTTACAAGAAGGTTCCAAACAGTAGGATCAATATCCACACTATACTCACAGTTCCCCAACAAGAGGATGAACCAACAGCAGCAAGCCTGTTGTCCAAGACGACGAAGACGACGCCAAGAAGAAGACATCAGTCACTGTCGCTCAGTCCCATAACGTTTAGAGCGTCACAAGGTTGGGGTTGACGAAGACGAAGATAAAGTCATCAAGATACTCTCTGTGTGAAGACGATAGCATTGTCAGACATGATGCTTGACTTGCACATTGTACGTTGTTGTTTGTGTGAAGGAACAAAGCATACCGACACGTACTTAACAGTGTCATTGTACTAATGTTACTTGTCAGTGTCAGTGTGCTTGTGTGTAAACATCGCGACACAAGTTATGCATTACTATGTTCATTAAACAATATTGGCAGAAAATATGAACCTGTTTAAGTTTAACATTTTCACCTTGCTCGCAAGGTGACCGTTCATGTTGTAACAATGAATCAGATACAATACCTGCAAGAACGTGTATTATCATATAATAGATTACACTGAGCATTCCTGGAACTGCGATTTTATCTGAATTGCGATTTTGCCAGAAAATAAAATAGTTCAACAATACAAAATATGTTTCCGTTCATTTTCAACGTTGACAGGTGTGGCCTAGAGCGCCGCATTTCTTAATGCACACTTGCGTCCTTTAGATGGCCAAGAATCCTATGGTTGTTGGTTTGAAACTAGATCCACTCTGATTATGTTTCTCAGTTTGCCAGCAATAAACCCTGCACATCGGTTTCACCAAAGTTGTGCACCATTATCGGCTTTCCTCCCACATTTACATGATATACTGCATATTAAACTTATAAATAAAGAACATGTTGGTGCCAATTGTACCTGCGCGCAAAGAGCTTCCTTCATCAAAAGAACTTGAACACGCATGTTAATGTCATTAGCTCATTTGTATATAATTAGGTGTGATGTATGTCTCACATGTAAATTGCAATGAACTTTGATATTTCACCCGTTCGAATGAGACAATACAACACATAAGATTTTTTGTGAGCGTGCATGTAACCATAATTAGAAACTGTGGAAAGTTAAAGCCTTCATTAGGCTGGATGTTAATGCTTAGTTAAGAGTAGTTGAAACAAAGTTATTTCTTGAAATCCAACTGGATTGGCAAACAAGCCCATGTCTTATGTTGATGCCAATCCATTACAAGCTATACAGCATGGGATATAAGTGCAGAAGCAGTGAGCGCAAAGGTTCTAGTTATATGTTGCAAGTTTGTTTCTCAAACTGCCTTGATTGCCAGTCAATTCAAACGCAAACATGTACCACTTGACTAGCCTGTCTACAACATCTATCAGCAACCGTACAATCACACATTCCGTTATGATTAAACAAATACACATCGCTGAGTATATCATCTATAGCCAAGCCCTCTACTCAACAAATCGTTGTGCCTCCGCTCAGTTTCAAATCATGCGGTCATGTGTCACGAGTAATCCCGAGTACAATAAAGTTCAGTTTAGCAAACTCTTTGCCTGAAGAGTGACACGGTGAATTGACTTTGGCTGACACAAATTGTAAGGAAACAGCGGGGTGTCATATACACACACCAGAAAAAAAAACACCCTCTTTCAACATTTGACACTCTAACTTTGTGTTGTCACCCTTGCACTTGGGAAAATTGAAACAAAAAACTATCAGTTATGTTTATACACAATTCAATAACAGAACTATGTTAGTTCAATTATATATCAATAAGGAAATCACAATGACTGTCTTCAGTCAGTGGAAACTATAACGCTAAACATGTATATTTCAAGTGCAAGTAATTTTCACATACTTATACAGATAGATAGTGTATAATTCCACCAACATTCTGTAACTACATCTACATCACGGGCATCTAAAAGTTCCACTCATATCAAATCTAACTTGTGTACAAATGGATGCTTTATAACAAGATACCAATTAACACCGGCAAATGAACACGGATATCGTAAATCCTTAAATAATCAAACACCTGAAACACATTATCATCCTAATTATATTATGTCGATGTTTTGACAACAAACGACATTACCGTAGAACACTTACTAGATTGGTCACGTGATGTCATCTCATTCACAAGTGCAGCACGTGCCACTAGCTAAATGTGCTAAGCTGAAGCCTTCATGTCAACATTGAATTAATCGTGACATGTAGTTGTAGTAATGACCCTGTCATTTGTGTTGTGATACGCAAAGGTATAAAGCTGTTCTGTTACAGGAAGAAGGCATTCCACTCTTGGAAACATTACATCGAGATACATACTTAGCTCTTTAGATTCGTCGAGTTTAGCCAAATATCATTTCTGTCTTTCATTATTTTTTAGATCTAAAAACAAGTAACATGAATCATTACGATTCCCGACTTTGTCTTCTGGCCTCTTCGGCCATGGAAACTATTGACCACAGTGGTCATGACGCAGACGGTGAGACATTTGCACTATTCACTTTTATCACATCTGGATAATAATTCATTGGTGTTGTTTTTATTCAAAGTATATTTCAACTACCCGTTCTGTTCATCAAACACCACTCAGCTTTAATAACATTTGCAACAAATTGAATATTGTTTCATAACTGATTTCTTTTCTTATTCCAGCTGAAGGTACCTCGTCAGGCTATGACTCAAGTGACTACTCCTCTGATGAAGGCGTGAGCACGACCTCAAAATCAAGATCGTTCAGCCAATCCAGTTCCAACCCATCACAAGGCCGCTCTCACCCCTCACAGTCCTCCGGTCGGGGAGACGTCATGATGCTTAGAAGCACAGGGGACTTACAGGACAGCCTCTCCCTCATCCTCAACATGCCAGATATGTGTGACGTCACCTTTCTCGTTGGGAAGGAGAAGGCTCCTGTTCATGGAGTCAAAGCCATAATGGCTACACGAAGCAGGTAAGATATTCTCGAAAACAATCAAATCCATTACAAAGGTCAGGACAATAATAAGTGCATGTTTAAGTAGAGCCTGTTTGGCTCTTATACTCTGTGAATGTACTCAACATGAGAACAATATTTGGACCATTTACTAGTTGTGTATGACTATCGTCTTTAATTTGTTTCTTTCTTTTCTCTAGGTACCTATATCAGCTTTTGCTTCAACATCAGAAACACTCCTCCTTGGAACGATCAAAGACCAAAAAGATCAAAGACTCAGCCTTTGCACAGAAACTCACCATCAGCATTCCTGACTACCAGATTGGAGACTTTCGGGCGTTCCTCAAATTCGTCCACTCAGGGAAAGCTAACATCGATTTTAACAATGTGGTTGGTAAGTACTATCTTTATTTGTTTAAATGGGATATTCATTTCAACACAAAAATATCCCCATACCACTAATCTTGATGACACATGAGCGAAACACAGACAATTATCCATAATATGAACTTCACCCTTTTGATGATATTTTATCAAACACATTACAATACGTCCTCGGCTCTTTCAGGATTACTCTGTGCATCTGTGGAATTTGGATTCTCCGACCTACAAACGGCCTGTATGCAGTTTGTCCAGAGATGTCAAAATCAGGGACATGGTCCAGCCCTTCTGGATTTAGCCTGGACCTACCAAAACAAACGACCAGCACAGAAGCTCGTCTGTCAGGTATGTAACATACTCTCCTTCAGGTTCTCTTGGCCATGATCTCACTTGGGCCACACGCATTCTAAAATTAATTGATTTCGTTGGGAAACATTTCAAGGACCCAAATGATTCTTAATGTGATTGATAAATTTTGACTGCAAAAAAAACTTCGAATATTACATGATTAAATACTCTCTACTGCGGTTCTAATTTTTGCAAATTTACTCTCTTCCAGCTGCCAGGTGTAACCAGATGAAAAGATCAACCGAACTTACAAGAAGGTTCCAAACAGTAGGATCAATATCCACACTATACTCACAGTTCCCCAACAAGAGGATGAACCAACAGCAGCAAGCCTGTTGTCCAAGACGACGAAGACGACGCCAAGAAGAAGACATCAGTCACTGTCGCTCAGTCCCATAACGTTTAGAGCGTCACAAGGTTGGGGTTGACGAAGACGAAGATAAAGTCATCAAGACACTCTCTGTGTGAAGACGATAGCATTGTCAGACATGATGCTTGACTTGCACATTGTACGTTGTTGTTTATGTGAAGGAACAAAGCATACCGACACGTGCTTAACAGTGTCATTGTACTAATGTTACTTGTCAGTGTCAGTGTGCTTGTGTGTAAACATCGCGACACAAGTTATGCATTACTATGTTCATTAAACAATATTGGCAGAAAATATGAACCTGTTTAAGTTTAACATTTTCACCTTGCTCGCAAGGTGACCGTTCATGTTGTAACAATGAAACAGATACAATACCTGCAAGAACGTGTATTATCATATAATAGATTACACTGAGCATTCCTGGAACTGCGATTTTATCTGAATTGCGATTTTGCCAGAAAATAAAATAGTTCAACAATACAAAATATGTTTCCGTTCATTTTCAACGTTGACAGGTGTGGCCTAGAGCGCCGCATTTCTTAATGCACACTTGCGTCCTTTAGATGGCCAAGAATCCTATGGTTGTTGGTTTGAAACTAGATCCACTCTGATTATGATTCTCAGTTTGCCAGCAATAAACCCTGCACATCGGTTTCACCAAAGTTGTGCACCATTATCGGCTTTCCTCCCACATTTACATGATATACTGCATATTAAACTTATAAATAAAGAACATGTTGGTGCCAATTGTACCTGCGCGCAAAGAGCTTCCTTCATCAAAAGAACTTGAACACGCATGTTAATGTCATTAGCTCATTTGTATATAATTAGGTGTGATGTATGTCTCACATGTAAATTGCAATGAACTTTGATATTTCACCCGTTCGAATGAGACAATACAACACATAAGATTTTTTGTGAGCGTGCATGTAACCATAATTAGAAACTGTGGAAAGTTAAAGCCTTCATTAGGCTGGATGTTAATGCTTAGTTAAGAGTAGTTGAAACAAAGTTATTTCTTGAAATCCAACTGGATTGGCAAACAAGCCCATGTCTTATGTTGATGCCAATCCATTACAAGCTATACAGCATGGGATTTATATATATATATATATATATATATATATATATATATATATATATATATATATATATATATATATATATATATATATATACTATGTTCATTAAACAATATTGGCAGAAAATATGAACCTGTTTAAGTTTAACATTTTCACCTTGCTTACAAGGTGACCGTTTATGTTGTAACAATGAATCAGATACAATACCTGCAAGAACGTGTATTATCATATTACAGGAACTGTTATTTAATCTGAATTGCGACTTTTCCAGAGAATACAATATTTCAACATTATCAAATATATTTCCGTTCATTTTCATCGTTGACAGGTGTGGCCGAGAGGACCGAATTTCTTAATGCACTCTTGCGTCCCTTATGTCCTTTATAAAATTAGCATACTTACAGGAAAAGTGTCAATGTAGTTATGGATCAACATTGCATCGATCTGCTTTTCTGAAAGAGGAATTCGCCACGAGTTGTTTTAAGATCAATATCATGTTTAGTTTTGGCAATATTTGGTATCAACATTACTGTTTTATTCAGTGGATGTTATGGAAATTGAATCTCAATGTGTTCTTGAGTTTAAGTATCCCTATTTCGACCAGTTTTTAGGTGTTTCCAGAAGAAGAACAATCGACATAGGAAACCGGGGTACTCCTGAAGGAACATATCAAGACTCCATGTTTTCCTACGTCCACAACGGTGACGACAAACGAAGCTTCTCTTCTTGTTGACCAGGACGATGTCCTCAACAAGAAAGGCAGTGCAGTTGCTTCATAAGTACACCTGACCTCCTTAAGAGAAAAATGAAGAAAGAAGCACTAGCATTCAGATTGCTTTGTGAAGTTACAGACAGTTTATAGCAACGACTAATAGTTATTTTTAGATTACAAAACGTTTGTGAGTGTGGGATGCCATTTGCGATTTTGCAAAGAGCGTAAAACCTATATTTAAGGTTTTGGGAATCCCCTGTCCTCGTAATAAAATCTACTTCCGCTTTTTGATGAACCATGTTAATGTATGAACATTGATATTTGAAATATTGTAAATTGATATAACTGAATAAACCCAACATGCAAGAGACATATTTCGTATTCTCTCATTACTCTGTGGGGGTTAGTTTCTCTGTCCGCGTCAAGACCATTGAAGTATATTTTTTTTGAGACACAATATGTGTACTTTAAGGAGTGGGGCCTCCTTATGACGCGACTGACATTTTCGATCAAGTTAATTAATTAATTAATTTTCTTTTTCTATTATTCTTTCGACAGAGACATATTTTACGAATCAGAAGGACACGAGCAATTGCTCCCCGAAGACATAAAAGGCAATGATTAAAACGTGGACTCTCATGGGCCGGAATGACATATTCGTTAAAGACTAATTCATACTTGTTCTTATAATTCCGTCGACACATACATTTCTTTATACACCATGAGGAATACACTTCTTCCTCCACAAAACAGGAAATCATTTGAGTCGTCGTACATGTAAATGACTGCTCCAAAACAAAACCAATTGTCCAATTTCTCCTATCTATTTGATTTTTTCATATTAAATTATACAGCTTCCATGAAAGTGTCATCTCCCGTGGTTGTGCTTCCATGATTAACTAAGGTCAGTCGACTGAACGTTACTTCAACATGACAGCGTTTGTCAGACAAGCGGGAATACCGAATTGAACGTACGTGATTAATATCTATTGTAACCATCTTCCCTTTACCCACCCCGGTGTTGATTAAACAACTATACATGTTCAACTGATCTTATTGAAATACGGATGCTATAATTATATATCCTTCATACCAAATACTGTCCTCAGTGACTCATATTTCACTCATATGACGTTAGTTGAATACCATTAAAAGAATATGTTGTTTGTTTGTTGTTTAGCGACACACTCAACAATATTCTAGCTGGATGATGTCGATTTCTAAATAATCAATGACCAGACAATTAAGTGATTGATATCTTGACAATCGATTCACGCAACTGGGGATACGATGACATGCATCAACCAAGTCAGCGCGCTTGACAACCCGATCCCGTTGGTCGCCTCTTACGACAAGCATGGGCTGCTGAAGACAGATTCTTTCCCGGATCGTCACGGGCTACAAATGAATAGATAGATAGATAGATAGATAGATAGATAGATAGATAGATAGATAGATAGATAGATAGATAGATAGATAGATAGATAGATAGATAGATAGATAGATAGATAGATAGATAGATAGATAGATAGATAGAGAGATAGATAGATATTCTTTATTTCCTCCAATTGCATGAAGGTAACAATATGCAGATATAATTATGTTGCATGTTTAACATGAATTGGGGATATATTTACACATATTCATAAACATACAAGTTTTTTAGCAGGTATAGCCATTTCCTTATAAAGCGGCTTTCATTAATTATTACTTCTGCCCACACATCTCTTTCTAGTTCCATAATACATTCTATTGGACATCCACCAAGTAAAAACGCAAGAATAACATCATCATCTTTCTCCCAGATCTTAACAAAAACATTTACATCCAGGATATCACTTATGGTGTTAAAAAGTACATTTCGGTCATTCATATTGATCGTGCAAGACATAAACACGTGCTTTACAATATCATTGGCGACAGTTTTACAATAGTATTCTCTGGAGACAATTTCAACTGATCCATAGAATACAAGTCTTGCAATATTAGTTAAATGGTCATACTTCTCCAAGGCTAGTTTCCAGAGATTGTGATCTTATACTAACATATCTTGACAGACTGATATAAAAGAATATGTAAACGAAGCTTACGTAAAATGTTAGTTACTAAAATACGAACAGAACAGGCAACCGTGTAATGAACTGTTAATGTTAATACGCCAGTATATTATTATATATTAATAGTGAGTGAGTGAGTGAGTGAGTGAGTGAGTATGGTTTTATGCCGCTTTTAGCAATATTCCAGCAATATCACGGCGGGGGACACCAGAAATGGGCTTCACACCTTGTACCCATGATTTATTAATAACTCATAATGTATCCACATGACGCTTGATTATTATTACCCCGGTCAGTCGGTCAGTGCTCAATCGACTTTCACTGAGTATAAAACCCAAGCTATCCTTAAAGGGGCTAGAAGGTTCAAAGTTAGTCACACGACAACCTCATCCCATCAGGTACCCAGTCACTGCTGGATGCACAGAGACATAATTATAGCTAACACTTGTATGGGAGACCTTCTGTATAACACAGTGTTTCAGTGCTGGAAAACTCTCGGCTTGACGTCGGACGTCATTCAGCCGTCTTTGAATCTCGTCCCAGGGGTGCTCAATGGGATTTAAATCGGGATTAAGGGCAGACCACTGCATGGTTCTGATGCCATTCTGCTGGAGGAAGTCTCTTGTTGCTCTCGCATTGTGGGCACGGGCGTTATCATGCTGAAACTCGTGGTTCCGGCGACGTGCCAAATGAGGTGTGGCGTGTGGTCTCCAGACTTGATCATTGTACCGAGCTGCTGTGACACCATTGCCTCTCCCTGGACCGATGTTCTGGAAGACCATAGAGCCGACCCTCTGTGCAAGACCAATTCCACCCCACACCATGATGCTCGGACCATCACACGAGTCTCTCTCAACAACACAAGCATCCGAATCACGTTCCCCACGGCGTCGCCAGACTCTCTCTCTCTCTCTCTCTCTGCAATCTGCTGTGGAGATACTGTAACGGCTCTCGTCTGAGAAGAGGACTCTTCTCCAATGCTGGTGGCACCAATGCTGGTGCTGTGTTTCCCACTGAAGACGGTCCCGGCGATGACGTGGTGTCAGAATGGGTCCTTGGTGTGGACTGTGACAGTGGAGGTGTTTGCTCGTCAATCGTCGAGGCCCGATGTCCGCACTAATGTGTCGCTGGTGTGTCCCCATGGTCTGTCGATCAGTTTCCGCAGCAGTAACAAAGTGATCTTGAAGATGCTGTCGCACAATCTGACGATCCTGACGTCGGGTGGTAACCCTAGGTCTTCCATGGCGTGGTCGGTCATCTGTAGTGTTGGTGATCTGGTACCGTTGCTGGAGCCTGTATATGGTCCTTACGTAGACTTGAAATACATTGGCTACTTGCCGGGCGGTTTGTCCAGCTTGCAATCGTCGAAGGGCTTGGTGTCGCTGATTTCTTGTCAATCTTGGCATGGGGTAGCAATTCAATAACGAATGAATAGAGCATGAAATGGGGGAACGGATGTGCATTTCAATATGCACGGAACTCACGTGCATCGGGTTACCATGGCCGTTGCCGTGATGCGATCGGTTTTATTGTCATCTGCTTTGTTTTTTATCATCAAATTTCATTTTTCCGGACAAGGTAATTTTAAATTGTAGAAACTTTGACAAAAATTACCCAGATATTTCAATGACAACTTTTCATGCAATGGGTGACGTTTCTTTTGCGGTTCAGTAATGCTGGTTTCACCGATGTGGTAAACGTCTGAGACCTGCATCGCTTCGGACTTTCCTCCCACATTAAGCTGACACGCCGTGATACAACTGGAATACTGTTAAAAGCGGCGTTAAACCCTAATCACTCACTCACACTATCCACAGGCCCAGGCAGGCGGTCTTAAAGTAAAAGGTGCAGGCATCGTAGTTGTAGTGGTAGAAGTAGAAGTTGTAGTGGTAGTGGTGGTAACGGTGGTAGTAGTGTTAGTAGTAGTAGTAGTAGCTGAAGTAGCAGTAGGAGTAGAGGTAGTGTTAGTAGCAGTAGCAGTAGCAGCAGCGGCTGTGATAGTAGCAGTAGTAGTGGTAGTAGTTCTACTAGAAGTAGTAGTAGTAGTGGTAGAAGTTGTGGTTATGGCAGCACTAGCAGCAGCAGCAGTAGTAGTAGTAGTAGTAGTAGTAGTAGTAGTAGTAGGAGTAGTAGTAGTAGTAGTAGCAGTAGCAGTAATAGTGGTAGTTGTAGTGGTTTCGGTGATAGTAGTATAAGTAGCAGTAGTAGAAGTAGCAGTAGATGTAGTAGATGTAGTAGTAGATGTAGTAGTAGTAGTAGTAGAAGTTGAAGTAGTAGTAGTAGTAGTTGTTGTTGTTGTTGTAGTAGTAGTAGTAGTAGTAGTAGTAGCAGTAGCAGTAGCAGTAATAGTGGTAGTTGTAGTGGTTTCGGTGATAGTAGTATAAGTAGCAGTAGTAGAAGTAGCAGTAGGTGTAGTAGATGTAGTAGTAGATGTAGTAGTAGTAGTAGTACTATTACTAGTAGTTGTGGTAGTAGAAATAGAAGTAGTAATGGTAGCGGTGGTAGTAGTAGTAGAAGAAGAAAATGAAGTAGTGGTAGTAGCAGTAGCAGTAGCAGTTATCAATGCTGGTATGTCGCTAGCACAAGCGTGATTCCCGTGTGTGTCAAGCGGTATCGAGAGGTGACCCCAATCACTGAAAGTTGTTGTGTGTTGACAGCCGGATTAGAGTTACCTCCCTTACATCAGTTGCCGCCATCGTGTCACTTCTGCAGGTAGCTGGAGGCCAGTTTTCAAGACATTGGGCTCCTGGTCACAACATCAAGTCAACTGTCTGAAACGCCATGAAACACCGTGTGACCTTGACATGGCCAGTGTTAGAGGTTACACCACAGCCGGAAATGAGCACGTTTATCCTCAGGGTACACATGTGTCATAACAACTCATAAACAACAATAATATGTCTTTGTGTATATTCACAACTGTCATGGTAATATTCATGATTTTAAATTGTGAAAGTAAAGCGACAAAGCAGCGTGAGTTGTATACTTCCCAGGGAGTACAGACTGATCCATTGAGCGGGGTAATAATGTCAGCGCTTTGTGTACGCGCCGCGTGTATGGAGGCAATTGCGAAAGATGTTAACGTATTATTATCATTAATAGTAGTAGTAGTAGTGGCCTTAGTAGTAGTGGTCGTAGTAGTAGTAGTAGTAGAAGTAGAAGTAGTATTAATATCACCAGTAGAAGTAGAAGTAGTAGTGGTAGTAGTAGTAGTAGTAGTAGTAGTAGTAGTAGTAGTAGAAGTAGTAGTGGTAGTAGTAGTAGTTGAAGTAGTAGTAGTAGTAGTAGTAGTAGTAGAAGTAGTAGTAGTCGAAGTAGTAGTAATATTACCAGTAGAAGTAGTAGCAGTAGTAGAAGTAGCAGTAGATGTAGTAATAGTAGTAGCAGTAGTAGAAGTAGTTGTAGTAGTAGTACTACTACTAGTTGTGGTAGTAGCAGTAGAAGTAGTAATGGTAGCGGTGGTAGTAGTAGAACAAGAAGAAGAAGAAGAAGAAGTAGTGGTAGTAGCAGTAGCAGTAGTAGTTATCAATGCTGGTATGTCGCTAGCACAAGCGTGATTTCCGTGTGTGTCAAGCGGTATCCAGAGGTGACAGCCGGATTAGAGTTCCCTCCCTTACATCAGTTGCCGCCATCGTGTCACTTCTGCAGGTAGCTGGAGGCCAGTTTTCAAGACATTGGGCTCCTGGTCACAACATCAAGTCAACTGTCTGAAACGCCATGAAACACCGTGTGACCTTGACATGGCCAGTGTTAGAGGTTACACCACAGCCGGAAATGAGCACGTTTATCCTCAGGGTACACATGTGTCATAACAACTCATAAACAACAATGATATGTCTTTGTGTATATTCACAACTGTCATGGTAATATTCATGATTTTAAATTGTGAAAGTAAAGCGACAAAGCAGCGTGAGTTGTATACTTCTCAGGGAGTACAGACTGATCCATTGAGCGGGGTAATAATGTCAGCGCTTTTGTGTACGCGCCGCGTGTATGGAGGCAATTGCGAAAGATGTTAACGTATTATTATCATTAATAGTAGTAGTAGTAGTGGCCTTAGTAGTAGTGGTCGTAGTAGTAGTAGTAGTAGAAGTAGTATTAATATCACCAGTAGAAGTAGAAGTAGTAGTGGTAGTAGTAGTAGTAGTAGTAGTAGTAGTAGAAGTAGTAGTAGTAGTGGTAGTAGTAGTAGTAGAAGTAGTAGTAGTAGTAGTAGTAGTAGAAGTAGTAGTAGTAGAAGTAGTAGTAATATTACCAGTAGAAGTAGTAGCAGTAGTAGAAGTAGCAGTAGATGTAGTAATAGTAGTAGCAGTAGTAGAAGTAGTTGTAGTAGTAGTACTACTACTGGTTGTGGTAGTAGCAGTAGAAGTAGTAATGGTAGCGGTGGTAGTAGTAGAACAAGAAGAAGAAGAAGAAGAAGTAGTGGTAGTAGCAGTAGCAGTAGTAGTTATCAATGCTGGTATGTCGCTAGCACAAGCGTGATTTCCGTGTGTGTCAAGCGGTATCCAGAGGTGACAGCCGGATTAGAGTTCCCTCCCTTACATCAGTTGCCGCCATCGTGTCACTTCTGCAGGTAGCTGGAGGCCAGTTTTCAAGACATTGGGCTCCTGGTCACAACATCAAGTCAACTGTCTGAAACGCCATGAAACACCGTGTGACCTTGACATGGCCAGTGTTAGAGGTTACACCACAGCCGGAAATGAGCACGTTTATCCTCAGGGTACACATGTGTCATAACAACTCATAAACAACAATAATATGTCTTTGTGTATATTCACAACTGTCATGGTAATATTCATGATTTTAAATTGTGAAAGTAAAGCGACAAAGCAGCGTGAGTTGTATACTTCCCAGGGAGTACAGACTGATCCATTGAGCGGGGTAATAATGTCAGCGCTTTGTGTACGCGCCGCGTGTATGGAGGCAATTGCGAAAGATGTTAACGTATTATTATCATTAATTGTAGTAGTAGTAGTAGAAGTAGTAGTAGTAGTAGTAGTAGTAGTAGTAGTAGTAGTGGTATTGGTATTGGTAGTGGTAATAGTAGTAGTAGTAGTAGTAGTAGTAGTAGTAGTAGTAGTAGTAGTAGTAGTAGTAGTAGTAGTATGTACAGATTAAATTAAAAAATGCAGCAAAAAGGGTTTGGGTGATCCTGGCACAGTCTGGCTGGTTTGGCTCATCATCAGCTCAGGGCTCATCATTCGAGTAGCAAACGGAAAGCCTTCTGTTTCACTTTTCAGGCCAGCCGACCTCATCCAAGCGAAGGACTCTTTAGGGTTGCTGATCTTCTCAACACACTGCACATAAACTCGATGTTCAGAAAGCCTCTCCTTGAAAACTGAGTCTGCGCCGATTTGATATGGCACTTCACATGAACACTCATTGCTGTACCGTACCTTGGCTCGTTTACGAAAACTGTGGAATGCCTTGTTTTCATTATGAGTCTTGACATGCTTCACGAGAGGATCATTAGAAAATTAATGTGTGCAAAAGTGCACAAAACAATTCTATCATGAAGAGCCTCCACATTAATCAAACCACGCCCTCCCATCATAATTGGTAAATATAACCGATTGAGGGAAGAGTGAGGGTGGTGGGATCTATTGTCTGACATGATTCTTCGTGTGAGGGTGTCAATACCCTGAATTTCCTGTTTCGTCCAATCAACAACACCAGAAGAATACGAAAGGACGGGCACAGCATATGGTATTATTATCATAATCATCATCATCATCATCATCATCATCATCATCATCATCATCATTATTATTATTATTATTATTATTATTATTTAACGCCAAAGTCAGCAATAGTCTAGCTATACAAGGCGACCTGTAAATGATCTACTCTGCAACTGGCAAAACTTGAGCATTCCATCATCATTTTAGTTGGCCCTCACCATAAATATGAAGCACTGGAGACCTATTCGGAACAGGTCCGGAATTCGAATTGTCGTAAATTTCGAAAAGGATATGTACCTTTTTTAATTTTCTAAACAGAAAAAAAACTAAAACAAATAAAATTACAGGTATGACAATGAAATTAAAAATCGTTCGTGTGAACAGTAATTCATGAAACGGTATCTGGTAATAAAAGTTGAGCGGGTCTCCCGCACTGCCTTTATCTGTGTCAATATCAGCGAATATAATTGGGAGTTAATTTAGAATCGTTTGTGCATGTTTGGGTAATTTGATTTATTTGGGGTGTTATCCTAAATGGCTTTAATCCGATCGGAAGCATGTCGACCCCTTTGCGCGGATTGTGACCTGTTCTCAGTTGGTTGTTACACACCACCGCACACGGACAAAACAACTGGTTGTTCGCGCCAAACACACGTCTAATTGTGATAGAGCATTGGGTAAACTACGTTATTGATCCCGGTTTGAGGGCTGCAATCAGTCTCACATTGCCGCAGTTTAACATGGATACCCCACTCAGGCACAGTATGCTGACAGTATAGCCGACCAGTCCTTGTTTGATCAGAACATCCTTCCTTTACGACTCTCTTCTCTCCCTGAACAATCCCTCCTCACGACTCTACTCTCTCAGAACATCCTTCCTTCACGACTCTCTACTCTCTCAGAACATCCTTCCTTCACGACTCTCTACTCTACCAGAACATCCTTCCTTCACTACTCTCTACTCTCTCAGAACATCCTTCCTTCACGACTCTCTACTCTCTCAGAACATCCTTCCTTCACGACTCTCTACTCTACCAGAACATCCTTCCTTCATGACTCTCTACTCTCTCAGAACATCCTTCCTTCACGTCTCGCTACTCTCCAAGAACCATCCCACTTCACGTCTCGCTACTCAATCAGAGCATCTTTCCTTCACGACTCTCTACTTTCCAAGAGCCATCCCTCCTCACAAGTCTATACTCTCCCAGAACACCCTTCCTTCACGACTCTCTACTCTCCCAGAACATCCCTCTTCACGACTCTCTACTCTCCCAGGATCATCACTCTTCACGGCTCTCTACTCTCTCAGAACATCCCTCTTCACGACTCTCTACTCTCCCAGAATATTCCTCTTCACGACTCTCTACTATCCCGGAACCATCCCTCTTCACGACTCTCTACTCTCCCAGAACCATCACTCTTCACGACTCTCTACTCTCCCAGAACCATCACTCTTCACGACTCTCTACTCTCCCAGAACCACCACTCTTCACGACTCTCTACTCTACCAGAACCATCACTCTTCACGACTCTCTACTCTCCCAGAACCATCACTCTTCACGACTTTCTACTCTCCCAGAACATCCTTCCTTCACGACTCTCTACTCTCCCAGAACCACCACTCTTCACGACTCTCTACTCTCCCAGAACCATCACTCTTCACGACTCTCTACTCTACCAGAACCATCACTCTTCACGACTCTCTACTCTACCAGAACCATCACTCTTCACGACTCTCTACTCTCCCAGAACCATCACTCTTCACGACTTTCTACTCTACCAGAACATCCTTCCTTCACGACTCTCTACTCTCCCAGAACCACCACTCTTCACGACTCTCTACTCTCCCAGAACCATCACTCTTCACGACTCTCTACTCTACCAGAACCATCACTCTTCACGACTCTCTACTCTCCCAGAACCATCACTCTTCACGACTCTCTACTCTACCAGAACATCCTTCCTTCACGACTCTCTACTCTCCAAGAACAATCCCTCCTCACGACTCTCTACTCTCCCAGAACCATCCCTCCTCACAAGTCTATACTCTCCCAGAACACCCTTCCTTCACGACTCTCTACTCTATCAGAGCATCCTTCCTTCACGTCTCGCTACTCTATCAGAGCATCCTTCCTTCACGACTCTCTACTCTCCCAGAACCATCCCTCCTCACGACTCTCTACTCTCCCAGAGCCATCCCTCCTCACGACTCTCTACTCTCCCAGAACCATCACTCTTCACGGCTCTCTACTCTCTCAGAACATCCCTCTTCACGACTCTCTACTCTCCGAGAACCATCACTCTTCACGGCTCTCTACTCTCTCAGAACATCCCTCTTCACGACTCTCTACTCTCCCAGAACATCCCTCTTCACGACTCTCTACACTCCCAGAACATCCCACTTCACGACTCTCTACTCTCCCGGAACCATCCCTCTTCACGACTCTCTACTCTCCCAGAACCATCACTCTTTACGACTTTCTACTCTCCCAGAACCATCACTCTTCACGACTCTCTACTCTCCCAGAACCATTTCTCTTCACGGCTCTCTACTCTCCCCGAATCATCACTCTTCACGACTCTCTACTCTACCAGAACATCCTTCCTTCACGACTCTCTACTCTCCCAGAACCACCCCTCCTCACAACTCTATACTCTACCAGAACCATCCTTCTTCACGACTCTCTACTTTCCAAGAGCCATCCCTCCTCACAAGTCTATTCTCTCCCAGAACATCCCTCTTCACGACTCTCTACTCTCCCATAACCATCTCTCTTCACGACTCTCTACTCTCCCCGATTCATCACTCTTCACGACTCTATACTCTCCAAGAACATCCCTCCTCACGACTCTCTACTCTACCAGAACATCCTTTCTTCACGACTCTCTAATCTCCCAGAACCAACTCTCCTCACATCCCTATAGTCTCCCAGAACCATCACTCTTCACGACTCTCTACTCTCCCAGAACATCCTTCCTTCACGTCTCTCTACTCTCACAGAACATCCTTCCTCCACGACTCTCTACTCTCCCAGAACCATCCCTCCTCACGACTCTATACTCTCTCAGACCATCCTTCCTTCACGACTCTCTACTCTCCCAGAACATCCTTCCTTCACGACTCTCTACTCTCACAGAACCATCCCTCCTCACGACTCTCTACTCTCCCAGAACCATCCCTCCTCACGACTCTCTTCTCTCATAGAACCATCCCTCCTCACAAGTCTATACTCTCCAAGAACATCCCTCTTCACGACTCTATACTCTCCCAGAACATCCCTCCTCACAACTCCATACTCTCAAAGAACTTCCCTCTTCACGACTCGCTTCTCTGGAAATTTTACCTCCGTGTACAAAGTAACGAAATAACACAAGAATGGAATTAATCTTGATTCTGACCAATACATTCCTTCATTTAGATAGGTTTACACTATTTTTGCTATCAAACTCTTTCCAAAGTTATTCACTGACTTGGTCACATGATAGAGTAACTGTCTTGTTCTCTTGGGGATTCTGGGTAACATGTCAGCAACCTATGTTTATCGTAAGAGGCCCGGTGGCTGCATAACATCGTACCCAGACGATGCAGAACCATGCTGATTATATCAACCACTGAATTGTATGGTCCAGACTCGATTATTTACAGGTCGTTGAAATGTAGCTGGAATATTGCTGAGTGTGGCTTTAACTAAAAAAGTGAACACTTGATCTCTTCGGGTTCTTGAATTTATTTGATCTTAGTTTTATTTATTAAATGCTATCTTGTATTTTGCATTTACGTTTATCCACGCTCAAGCAGTGTTTATTTCCCTAATACTCTCATTGATCGAGACTAATCGTCTGTCCTGTTTAAACAGATATTACTCCTTTGATCGCATAAATAAGGCATTATTACAATTCCGTACTAAAGAAATAATATGCTGTGATCAACGGCCTGTAACGCAAGGAAGTGTCATTTGAGAAACAAAACAATTGTGAACAGGACACCGACTGTCTGTCTAAGTTGTCATCATATGACCTTGACCTTGTTTGACACTGCTTGACACAAAGGCTCGTTCTATCCTGGGGAAGTTTGAAACTTCGCAGAAGATCACTCATGCGTTGATTCTCGGAAATTAGTTGTGTCAAGAAGACGAGGGGGAAATCATGGGGAATCCCCTTATCCATGTGTATAACTGTCTGAATCCTCCAACCTAAAAACATGCATTCTTTCCTCAAGTTGTCCGCACGAGATAAAGTATGAAGAAATATTGTCGTGTAGAATATTTCACACTGAAGTAACTGCAGATAATATTGTTTATTCACAAAATGTGTTAGGCCGTAGGCCTATTACACAGAAGTATTTACAGAGAGAGGGAGAAAAAAGAATTACCACTAGTTTACATATACAGCCATATCCATACACATTCATACACATGCATATACACAAATAAATATTTAGACTGTATGTAATGAACAAAGTCGAAAAGCTTTGTAGACGTAGACTGCTAGATTTCGTATGATTTTAGAGTTAGTGGATGACATAAGAGCATTAAATTTATTTTTAGAAGGGGTTGTAAAATATTTAGGAGGAATGTATTCAGCTCTTAAATTATTATAAGCATTGCATACAAGCACAAAATGATATTCGTCCTCAATAAAATTCTGGTTACACAACAAACACAGTCTCTGTTCTCTTATTTCCTTAATATATCGACCGGTCTCCATTTTCAGCCGATGGGAGGAGCATCTCAACTGAGCAAGAGCAGCTCTGAATTTTGAAACATTTACTACCTTGATACAGCTTTCTAAGCCAAATGAAATTTTGTAAAGAGAGTAACTTTGGGATAACTGCAGATGATATATATAAATTACTGCATTGAAAAAGGAAGGGGTTATCAGCCCTTATGTGGCAAGACAAATGCAAACTTCACAAATCAAGAGACTAACGTCAACCTTTATCAGTTAATTGTTTAGCATCGTAAGATTCATCTGTTTATGGTTTGGTACAGCAAGATTTATCTGTTCATGGTATGGTATTTGCTTTCAAGCTTAATCTGTTATATGGTTTGGTATTTTATCAACAGGCTTATGGTTTGGTATTATAACAATAGGCCAATGCAAGCTCTTTCCGCTAATGGTTTGGCATTAAATCAACATTTCAACTTTTAGCTTTATCTGTTAATGGTTTGGTATCGTATCAATAGGCCAAATGTAATCTTTATCTGTTAATTGATTGGTACCGAAAGGGACTAACCTTACGCTCGATCTCGAAAACCTTATAAATTAATATTTTGTTCCAGAAAAACACAGGGAAAATATTTTTTTACTCAGGTTTTAGTAAAAATACATTGTTCTCTGGACAACATACTGGATGTTTTGGAAAATAAGTTGTGAAAATGTGTGTTTTAAAGTTGATTCGAAAACGTATATTGAAATAGTATTATCAGAATCAGCCAACATGTATTCCCGAGGAAGATAAAAGTGCATTTGAATGCACATTGGTCTGTAAAGTGAGTGAGAGTATGGTTTGACGCCGCGTTTAGCAATATTCCCGCAATATCACGGCGGGGGACACCAGAAATGGGCTTCAAACATTGTTCCCATGTCGGGAATCGAACCCGGGTCTTCGCAAACGCTTTAACTACAAGGCTACCCGACCGCCCCCTGGTCTGTAAAGCTGTGGTTTGGATAATGTGTCATCGTGTGTACACTGTCGGTGTTGGTGGCTCCTCACACATTAAATTAATTTAATAAATAATGGATTTGTAAAAAGCATTTTCCAACTTATTACCACTCAAATGCGTTTTTACCATGATTAGATTCATCAACAGTATTACTCGGGATCAGTGGATCAGTGTGCATTCGATTTTCAGCTCCCCAAGCAGCATGTCAGGCGATTTGAAGTTAACAATCACATTAAGATCTCATCCAACGGGTGCCCTGAGTTAACAGAAGGATATTTTGAACAGACCGAAATACACACGACCAAAATATTGTCCGTATATGTGACATGATGCCGTCTTTTTCCGAATCTGTATCAATTTATCTGACAGTGCATTTGCGTATCTTATTGTCAAGGCCTTCCGATTCCTTCTGTTTATTTCCTTCATAACCATCGATCTTCCGCCAAAAATTGCATATCCGTCCGTTTTCTAGCTGGTTATCTATATCACGTGCGCGCGTCAAGGTCACAGTTTAAGATTGTGCGCCTGCGCAGTGAGTGTCAAGCGGGAGTACGTGCAAAATTGATCCGCCACCAGATGGCGCTTTGCAGGCGAAATAGGTCCCTACTCCAGTTGCCACTCCATCCGCCTCCCACTCAACACTCATGCGCAACAAATGACCCAAATACAAAGAGACTTGCATCAGTCGCGTCAGATGAACTTTCAAGTAGCCATTCAACGTCCAGGATTCCAAATTCCCCGTACGATTGAACGGAGCACTGAGACGAGCACTGTTTTCTGAATCTCGTAAAATGAATGTAATTGGGGAAAGACGAATGCAAACAGTAAATACGTGATATTATCTAATTGTTTTAGAACGTTTGTGAGCGTCACGACTAATCAACCTTAAAGGGTGTACTATGAAGGGCAATTTTGTTTTGTTAAGATCGAAATATCCCAATCCAGATGGTAACGAGATTAAGCCGAATGGTTTGAGAAGGCTGACATCTGATTGGCTGAATAACTCAAACATGCTCCATTTAAATCGGGAGCTTCGCTCAGGGTTCTCCGGAAGAGACCCCTGTGGAAGCATCCTAAGATCTTCCCACAGAGAGGTTTCAAACATCAGATTTTAATGAGATTGAAACTTCGATTTGCATATTCCAAAAATGCGACCAATGTCCCTTGTCCCATACACATCACAGAATTCATTTTGCAGGCGACATATTTGTCAGATGGGAAAATTTGATAAGGATGAACGTTTCTATCTGCCGGTATGTTCTTACAACATCCGTGAAAAACAGGAGATCTCTCCCGATAAGAATGCAAGTAGGTCTAAAGGCACTCTCCAAACGGAAAATGTTACCATGTACGTATTATCTTACGTGCGTATGCCAAATATGTTCGGGTGTGTGAACATTCCAGCCATTCAGGGAAACAATCGAGCCACAAAGACTGAGGGGCGGTCGGGTAGCCTTGTGGTTAAAGCGTTCGCTCGTCACGCCGAAGACCCGGGTTCGATTCCCGACATGGGTACAATGTGTGAAGCCCATTTCTGGTGTCGACCGCCGTGATATTGCTGGAATATTGCTAAAAGCGGCGTAAAACCATACTCACTCACTCACTCACTCACTCACTCACTCACTCACTGAAAGACTTAAAGTGACACGTGACATAACTACACACGGGCACCACTATTATAACTACCACAACACAGCGATTGAATTGTTTTACAAAACAAGGTCTTATGGGCAGAAATATGCTATGGCTATAAACAGTACAATAGCATAAGCCTCGCTTTGACACCCAGCGCTTGCAATAAAATCCAGGGCTACCTTTGAAGTACTTGTCGGGCTTTTGGTTATTTGATAACAGGCATTTAAAATCGGGAAAAATTGTTAAGAACCAGGCCAAATCGGTCATTCATTGTTTAATGTACAGTCAGTTGACGCTTACGACGCAGTTAGGAACATAATATCTTTTCTGACTTCACATAGATAAAAAAGGGATATTATCGCAATAATATCTCGCGCAGTAGCAATAGCCCATACAAGCTGCATGTCGAAAAGCATGTATCTACTTTTGTTGTACGAGTGATGGTAATCTCAAACTTGGTAAGGGCCATACAGGTGAAAGAGAAGTGAAATCGGCATGCTTTTTGCATTATTTCGAGTGGTATCTTAGGTTACTAAGAGATAGACCTGCTGACAAAAAGGAAGTACTTTTGTGTGGTGTTACGTGGCTGCGTGCTGATCCACGAGGCTGCATGGTGGCAGCGAGTCACTGTGCTTAACAAACGATACCCCCACCTACGGTAGAGTAACATCTCGCCCATAGAGGAGCCGACTCGTAATTGTAGCGTTTACCAGTGAGCATGAGGCCACGCACATGAAAGTAAAACATGAATATATTGGCAGGTGCAAGATGAAATGGGGTTTAACGTTGTGTTCGAGATAATTGTACTAATGTACCGACGCCCGCGCGCGTGCGTGCGTGTGTGCGTGCGTGCGTGCGTGCGTGCGTGCGTATGTGACTGCTTGTTTTAGTCCCGGACGTACGC